AGTCCCTTATAAAGGTATCTGAAGTGCGAAGTTAGTGATATAGACCCCACATGGCATCTTTGTCAAACTTTCCATGTCTGCATTTAAAACAGAGGTTCAATTTGCCACCAAGAGCTCCACAAAATGCACTTAGCTGGTGATTATTCTCCGGATCTGTCATGCATCTAGTTACATTTGCAGCTGTTTGCAACATATCAGAAGCATTAGGAGTGAAATGCCACCTTTTAGCAAGTGGAATAGCTTCAACAACCTCTAAGAAAGTACCTATGGACAAGCAGACATTTAACTATGCATAATTATCCCTGTGCGCTAACTTAGAACGAAGGTGTTGTCCTGATTATCATCACTGTTATCATAGATGCTGTTATTAAAGCTACAAGCCGCCATCTTATCTACAATAACCAATTAACCATTAATATTTATTGGTCCAGTCGGTCATGGAGTGTTTCATGAATTTAATTAATTTTATGCTACGTTTCCAATCCCGTTTCCGGGTCTAATATCTATGGTAATAGTGCAAACAATATGAATGATTTCTACGAAATCTGGAATTTTTGTTGAAGTCTAGATTTTATGTATTCACTAAATGATAAAGTCTGTGCTGGATAGCTTTGTCTGGGATGATGCTCTCCATATTGTCCTGTAGGAAATAAAGTAGGAAAGCATAACAAATCAAGATGCTCTTGTGTATTGTCTATAGGCGCTTCTTTTACATTCATTAATTTATATTGACTGATAACAGAACCTGTTCAATTTTACTATCAAGATTTCTAATGGTATATGCCCAAAGGCCTTCTAAATCTTGATCATTTGCTTTTTCAAGCATTTTACAACTAGTGTTGCTAACTACTTGCATGACACTTTTAGACAAATTGTCGATGAAATCATCATCTATGTTTCTATAAAGCCAATTTATTTCTTTTAATTTTCTTAGTGCTGCTTTTATTTTATTCACATCAACTACGCTACGCCAGACATATTTTGATTTAGTAGGTTGTCCATTAATAATAATATAAAGTTCTGGAATAGGCAAGTGATTAGAATCTATACCAATCTCATTTAAAGTTTCCATGGTTTTTTCTAATGGAAGGGGTAAATAAAACATTGCACCTTTCAGAGCCTTCAATGAATTATATGTAGGCACTTTTAAGGTGTGTGTGCCTAGCCTAACAATTGTCTGAAAATATTTGGCTCTCTGTTTAAACTGGCAACTTAAAGGATCCAAATTTTCCAATTCTTTTGGTAGTGGCTCACACTTCAACCCATTGAGCACACAACGTGCCGGAACTTCATTTTTCCTAATAATAGGTTTACAATGATTACAAATATACATAACTTTATTTAATGCTGTAGGATCATTCTCTCTAATGTAATGTAATAGGATATTCCAAACATCGCTATCTAAATTTTTAGCTTCAGTGACAGATTTTTTTCTTAAAAGTGTCTCACAGCTACAACAAGCATTAACAGCCTGATCAGACAAAGCTTTCTTAAATTCGTCAATAGCATCTGAATACTGAAAATAAAGTACAGTATCTAAGTTTTGTATTCTAAATGGGTCTTCTTCTTCACCATCATTAATAGCGTAATGCACATTATCAAATTCAGTCTCATCGGCTTCATTAATTTTTAAATTTATCAATTGTGCTATATCACCATCAGCAAGGGAAGAATCAACATCTATTGTTAAATGGGCGTTTCTAGCAACATAAGTGTTTCAAAAGGCGTCTCAACAAAGGATAATGAACAGATGCATTGCGTAAAATACGCAGCATGCTTTTACATTTAGTATCATTACTACTACACACAATAGGATGGCCTATTCTTTCACAGACAATTTCTGAATATTTAAAATATTTTTCAACATTATTTTCATCTTTTTTAACAATTACCGTTACACTTGCATTATCACAGAAATCATGTTCATGCACTTGATCTATTTCTTCAACATGCAGGGATCTTGTCATATAATGAGTATTAGGACAATTGTCATATGCATCTAAATGCTTCCTCAATTCTTTAATGAGCTGATCAAAATATCGTCTAACTTCAATAATTGAACTAAAGTCCTTCTCTAATAAAGGTTTGCACCTGTCTGTACAGTGCCATTTGAGGGCAGGCTTTCCCTTATTAGTATACATTCTATTATTATCAAAATTGTCATCTTCAGAGTCACTATCATCATTACATTCTTGTACTCTATCAATACATGATATATTAACCATCCCTGCTACATAACAGATGCCATTTGTATCAACAGGGATTGCAATCGCACTATTTAATTGGCTATCAGGATCATCATTAGGATATAAATATGCTGATTCATAGAAATAAGGCTCACTATTCTTTGTGTGACATTGTTCACCAAAATCATTAAAGCTATTCAACTTCAATTTCCTAATGCTATTTGCTGCATGTATCAATACACCTACTTTGTGGGATCTGTTTTTCAAAACTGATTCCAATAATATACTTGATGCAGCATTACATTTACTGTCATATGATGTGTTCTCAAAATCTACACCTTTCATACTTGATGGCAATAAATCATCAACGATTTCGGGGCTGTAATATAAGGCTTCAATAATTTTCGTAAAATAATATTTCTTTGCTTCACTATTTGGTGCAGGTAGTGAGTAATTAGAACGTAGTCTATACAATATTTGTCCATAATGACGTTCATATTAATCTTTATGTAGCCGCCTCTTATTTTCCTTATTTAGTGCCAATTTTAATTTATCCATTTCGTTATCAGAAAATTTATATCTCAGAAATTTATCTTTTGTTACACGTAATATTGTGTCTCTATTCTCGTAATACCGTTTTAAGGAGTTTTGTTTTCAAAGGCCCGGATTTTGTTGATAACGTTTTTTAGACATCATTCTTTATTTAGAGAGTTTTGGGAATACATTTTTTGTGAATACTCTAATGACTTTGTAATTTTGATATTTTTGTTTTTGTTATACGAATTTTACATTTTTGCAAAATATAACCTGGGTTCAATGCATGATATTTTCTTGAATACCCAAGCTTATATTTTTTACTTATCTTATATGCAACTCTTGCTTTGCTTTTGACCCTGTTACACAGCCTTATGTAGTAACTTCTGGCGTAGGACCTGTTTTTAGATATAAATCCTTCCATTTCTTTTCTATTATCATAAATCTTAGATTTTTTTTTGGATTTTGCCCCAGTTAAATCATTCCTCCTTTTTCTACTTCCTTTTTTTACAACAAGTAGCACAACAATTACACTTAACATTAAAACAACAAAATACCATAACACCAAGTACATGTATGCAGGAGGTACAGGTAAGTTCCTGCTTATCATAGTAAACATAACTGTAAAGACTTATCTCAATAATATCCAATATCAGAAATATGACAGAATACAATGAGCTCTAGTGGTCTGGCTTAGGTACAGGTATCCAAACATGTCAAAACTGAGCAGCTGTAAAAATATTTTTTTTGCTCTGACTCTTCTGTAAGACTATATTTCGCTCTGTAATAAAAGAAACCTAAGGTGATACAGTTATTTTATAATATTTTACCTATTAGCTCTTAAAAGAACTGGTAATCACTTAGTTTGCAAACTGCTGAACAACTATGCAGAGAAAGAGAAGAATAGAGCAAATATTCACCGAGAGCAGTCACTATGGCAAATCTGAGCATGCGCAATAAGTTTTAAAATGTCGACTAAGGGGTGGTGATAATACGCCCAAATAACAATTTTATTATTATAAAAGATGAATTAAGTTGTGGAAAGTACCTTTGTTGTCCTTGACTCACGCTCCAAGGAATGATGTGAAAGTCACCTTGAGCTGTTCTCTAGTTTAAAAGATTATCCGGTGCATAGAAGATGAAAGAAGAAAAAGTCGGAAGAATTTTGCAGAAATTTGAATTTGGGCTATTCTCTAGAATTGCTCCCACTACATTACAGTTCACTTTAAAGGTACTAGGAGAATTGCTCATTGAATGAAAGCTTATTTAAGCCATTTATAAGGCTGTACATGGTAAGATAAAAGTTGTAAGTGTTTGAAAATGATAAATTTGGCCGCCATCTTGAAAAATCAACCTTAACCCTACATATAGGCTACCGCCTATATAATAATTAAGTTATGTTACATGTAGTTAGTAAAAGTTATAATTTTTGTTCCAACTTGGGGTCTTGGCGTCCAACCCTACCCCTGCCCCTGCCAGGTCTTCTTCGTAGATTGAGATACTATTATGGAATATAATTTAGTACATCATAGTTAAGACTTACAATTTGTCTATTGACAGCCCTCAATTGGGCAAGAATGAGCTGCCTTTGCTGGTGCAGCGTGCTGGGGCAGGAAGGACTGCTGGAGCCCCTCTAGGACGAACTACAGGTGCACCTGCAGGAGGGACTGCTGGAGCCACTCCAGGAGGGACAACGGGTGCACCTCCAAGAGGGACTCCCAGAGCCGCTCCAGGAGGAACTACGGGTGCACCTCCAAGAGGGACTGGCGAAGCCCCTCCAGGAAGGATTGCCGGAGCCGCTCCAAGAGGGATTGCCAGAGCCCCTCTAAGAGGGATTGCTGGAGCCCCTCCAGTAGGGATTGCTGGATCTCCTCCAGGCGGCAAATGGGATCTTCCTCTCTCCTATCTGGATCTGGGCTTGGTGACCTACTCATACTATGAAAAAGATACATACAAGTATATATAGTGTATAAGCTAGAGGTTGGATGAACTGACATTTTGCTTGCAAAGTACAAATAACAAATATTGAAAAGTAGTCTGATGCCTGACTGCAAATTGACTAAGGTCTAAACTTTAAAGTAAGGACTGTACTGCTCAGTGATAAAGTGTAGTTGAGTGGGAAATCAGGCATGGTTATTAAAGATTATTAACCAAAACAGGATATATGTCACATAAATAATTAGTTATCTTACAGAAGTTTTTTTAAATATTCTGTAGTGGACTTTTAAACCCAGTTAATTAATATGAATAAACATAATACTGATACAAATATAAAAATAATGAACAAATTGAATAAAATGGATGGAAACAAATAAAAGAAATTCTATAAATAAGAAAAAGTAGGGTTGTCAAAAAAACATGGGGGTTGAGTTCAATCATAACAATAATTACTAATTCAATTGATAATAATAAAAGTTAATTAATAAAAAATAAGTATTGTAAAAAATAAAACAAAAATTTCAATCCTACTTTGCAGCATTTGTGACCCAATATGAGAAAACCAGGCTATCTGCGGGAATTATCAATTAGAGATATGGCTTCTTAAAGTTGTGACAGCCGTACCTTATCAAAACTGAGATTATACCAAAAATATATTGTATAAAGAATTTTCTTTCATTTGATACCAAGTTTGCCCTAAAATAACTTGAAAGAGGTCATTTACAGACCTTTCTTTTTGTTGTGTACCATGTAAATAATGCAAGATATAATGATAAAAAATGGCTGCAACTCAATTTCATTCGTTTAGACTTC